CAGCCATCTACATTAAAAAAAGAAACAAACAAAACAAACAAAAACATTAAACCAACAGACAAGTCTTCAAGATTATCAGCTGCCGAGGACAAATCATGACAAGCAATTCAGTTTTCTTTTTTTTTTTTTTTTTGCGGGAGGGGGCTGTTTACATATCCTCCAGAGATAAGCCGGTATAAGAAATTAAACTATATAAGCTTGAGGCTTTCCTGGTGGTCCAGTGGTTAAGAATCCACCTTGTAATGCAAGAAACTTAAGCTCTGTCTCTGATTGGGGAACAAAAATCCCACACGTAGCAGGGCAGCAGAGCCCACGCACCCCAACTACTAAGCCTTAGTGTCACAATTAGAGAATTCGTGCCTTGCAACGAAAGATCCTTCATGATGCGAAGAAGATCCGTCATGCAGCAACCAACAAGAGCAAACAAATATTTTTTAAAAAGATATGTACTAAAAGCAAAACTATATAAGCTAAATAAAATGATCTCATGATTTCTATTTCTCAATAAAGTCATCACTCACAACACTAACAAAGTGAAGAAAAGCAAAACCAAATACCACCATCACTTCGTTTTTACGATGTAAATTTTCACCCTCACAAAAATATAGGTTCAGATTTTCTTAATGATGAACTCTTCACAAAATCTGATGTTTTGTAAAAGACGGCCAGAGTGATTACTGAGATCTGTAAACCAGTTATTCCAAGAATTCCAAGTAAACTATTTACAACAGGACAAGCTATTTTTCAGACTTTCATTTCTAAATTAAAGCACCATTTTAACTGTAAAATACCGGTCTGGCAAAGGGGTTCACTGATTAAGAGGTTCTTTCTCCACTTATTTTCCACTTGAATTGCTAGCAGCTGCAATAATACCAACATACGTATACCAAAGAATTTTATTTAAAAGGGTAATAAATTAAATCGTATTTGGAAACCCACAGGCATATTATAAATTAATCTGATGTCTGGGCTATGATTATATTCCCAACGCCTGGATCACATTCATAGCCTAAGGCTACTCTTCACTATGTGACCCTGCACAAGTATTCAATCTGTAGCTGCTTACATTTTAGCATTCATAACTGTGCCATACAACATGGCAGCCACCAGCCATATCTGACTACTTAAATTTAATTAAAATTAAGTAAAATTAAAAATTCTGTTCCTCAGCAGCAACTGCCCCACTTCTACGGTTAGTTCTGGCAAGAAACGACCATACTGGACAATACAGACTTGGTGATGAACATAAACAAGATAAAATGACTGCAAGTAACAAATGAGAAAAGGGGAACAGTGATGTCTGTTTTAGATTACATACTCAAAAAAGGTCTCTCCGAGATGCATTGAGCATGCAAGGATCTGCAGAGAGCATCCAAGGTGGGGACAAGAGCAAGGGCAACGGTCTCAGGTACAAATGAGCCTGCTGGGTTTCCCTGGAGGCTCGGACGGTAGAGAATCTGCCTGCAATGAGGGAGACCTGGGTTCATTCCCTGGGTTGGGAAGATCCCATGCAGGAGGGCGTGGCAACCCACTGTAGTATTCTTGCCTGGAGAATCCCATGGATAGAGGAGCCTGGCAGGCTACAGTCCATGGGGTCCAAAAGAGCTGGACGCGACTAAGCACATCACAGCTTTAACAACAAAAGTGTCTGAAGCATAAGAAATAAGGGGAGAAGAGTATGAGGTACAAGGAGCAGCAGGAAGTGGCGCCTCATGGTCCTTTAAGCCATGTGAGAACTTTGGATTTTATATTAACTGCAAGTGAAACCACAGACAGTTATAGAGAGAAGACTGTTATGATTAAATTGTTTAATAGTTCACTTTGACAGCTTTTGGAACTAACTAGAAGAAACCATTAACAAGTCTACAAATTAACAAGTCTAGAGAGGGTATGGAGAAAAGGGAACCTTCTTACACTGTTAGTAGGAATAAAAGTTGGTTCTGTCACTATGAAAACAGTATGGAGGTTCCTCAAAAAATAAAAAATAAAAATAAAAATAGAACCGACTTATGACCCACCAGCAATCCCATTCCTGAGGATATACCCAGACAAAACTGTAATTCAAAAACATACATGCACCCCAAGTTCACAGCAGCACTATTCACAATAGCCAAGACACGGAAACAATCTAAATGTCCACTAAGAGATGAATGGATAAAGAAAATGTGGTGTGCATAATATAATACATATATATATACACACACACACAACATTATTACTCAGCCATTAAGAAGAATGAAATAATGCCATTTGCAGCAACATGGATGGACCTAGAGATGATCATACTAAACAAAGGAACTCAGAAAAAGACAAATACCATATATCACTTACATGTGAAATCTAAAATACAACACAAATGAACATATCTACAAAACAAAAACAGACTTATGGACACAGAATAGACTTGTGGTTGCCATAGGGGAGGGGACTAGGGGCAGGAAGGATTGGGAGACTGGATTAGCACATGCAAACTATCATACATAAGAAAAAAACCAAAACCAACAGTAGAAGCAGGAAGATCTATTAAAAGAAGAGTAGTTTCACTGAGCAGGTAAGAGAAGATGGTGGCCTGGACAAGGGGAGTGGCAATGGGATAGAGGAAATGTGTCCTTCCTCTGCATCCTTTATCTACAGTCTTATGTCCACCATCGTTCACAACCTGGCTCCTTGGAATAGGCAAATTTATTTTTTAACTCCTCTCCTGCCCTTCCCCTGAAACTGTTCTAAGGTCCTAGTCACCTCCATCCTCCCAAAGCCAATGAACACTTTTCCATCCTCATCCTAGCTGATCTCTGCTGCATTCACAACTACTGACCACTCCTCCCTTTCATCAGATTCTCTCTCACTTCTGCGGCATTACTTTCACCTAGTTTTCCTCTCTTTCTCTTAAGTCTTCTTCCCATTCACCTCTATTTGACTTAATTCAAAAACATACATGCACCCCAAGTTCACAGCAGCACTATTCACAATAGCCAAGACATGGAAACAATCTAAATGTCCACTAAGAGATGAATGGATAAAGAAAATGTGGTGTGCATAATATAATACATATATATATATACACACACACAACAGATTATTACTCAGCCATTAAGAAGAATGAAATAATGCCATTTTTTCACTGAAGTGCTCCTCTATGGTTACATCTTCAGGCCTGCATTCATTTCACTATATTCATAACCCTTGAGACGGACTGACACTTTTTACTGGTAACTCCTGAGTTCACACCTCAAGGCCAGGGATCCTTATTAAGTTTTAGACCTGTTCGACTGGACACTGCATACATTTAAAACTGGACAAACTAGAAGCATTTAAGATGTAAAAGATCCAAAAGCGATCTCCTTCATTCCCTTTCATTAGAAATTCTTGCCCAAGTCAAAAGACGAAGGCATCCTCACCTCCCTCTCACTCACCAGCTACAACCCCCAGCACCAGATCTTCATTAGGTCCTGCAGATTCTATCTTAAAATCTTCCTGATCTAGCCGCTGATCTCAAGTCCTACTGAAGCTACTTTAGTCCATGCTTGCATCCCTTTTGCATGGGTTACTGAAATATCCTCAGAATGAAGTTCCCTGCTTCCTATCTCTCCTCCATACTGCTGCCAATACACTTAACAGGTATGTAAGAACTTTGCCGATTTACACATTTCATCACATCATTCCTTTGTTTAATGTCTTCAGATGCATCTGACTCCCTTCACAAGGATTCTCATGATCATGCTCCTTATTACCTTTAAGGCTCTTTTCCTCACACCCTGCTCTTCAGTCATTCAGCCTTTCTTAGCTAAATACCATGCCATTTCAGGCCTCCCTTCCGCTACACGTGCTATTCCTTCTCCCCTATTCATCTAAGCATCACTTCAAAGGTAGACTTAAGTACCCCCCACTTCAAGGACTGTATCTCCTAGTGCCATATGTATAAATATGGTTCACACTGTACGGTAGGGGTTAACTTATTTGTCCCAGAAAACTATACTGCTCCTAGAGGACAGAGACCATCAGTCTCACTTGATTGGGAGCACCATCGACGGGCAAAGAGCTAATATTCATAAACAGGTGTGATTTGATACCTTCTAAATTTTAAAAACGGAGAGAAACTTATTTAGTGGGCTTTTCATCACCATTCGAATATAGCACAAAGTAACTTTGGACATACGGCTTTGCAGTAAAATGGAAAAACAACTGACACGCAAAACAGCCCCTTTAAAAGGTAAAACGTAGGAAATTCTGAGGAATTCTGCGGCAGCTAATAAACAGACTTGGAGTTTTACACTACGTGGGCAAGTCACGCTGTTTGATGATAATTAACAGGCAGAAGGCTTCTCATCTCATTAACTTTTCATGGCCAAGCTGTTGTGATTGTAACTCCTGATGTGGCTTCTCACTCCCCGACAGGTTATTTTCCTTTATTTTGGAGCCTCCAACTCACCACCTAAGGAGTCTCTCACTTGTCAATCACTTATTTTCTAAACCTGAATGGGAAGAAAGGGGATGGAAGAAGGCAAAGTGTGGGCGATGACAGACACTTTCGGAAAGGGAAGCAGCAGAAGGCCACACAGTCCCAAACACGGAGGAGTATGGGGATTCAGGCGAAACCAGGCTAGCGCGCTGACAGCTGGCGAGGAGTAGGGAGGAGGATGCGATCCCGGGGCAGGCGGTGTGGAACCGGGCACCCCGGGCCGGCGGGAGGGGAGACGGAGAAGAGACTCAGAGAGAAAACTAGGTGTTGGGGGGTGGGGAAGTGGGCTAGGCAGAGAGCAGAGCAAGCTAGACGCAATGTTTGGCCAGAGGGCGGAGTGCCTTAGGCGAGAGGAAGACAACACCGACGCAGTCGAGGCAGGCGGACGCGGCTTCAGGACCCACAGCAGGGGATCCGCGCGGAGAGGAAAGGGGAGGCGAGGGAGGAACTAGGAGCGCCGGGGCGGGCAGGAGACCCGAGCCCGCCGCGCTTGTCCCGCAGGCGGAGGCGGGGAAGGGAGCGGCGAGGCGGGGGCACTTACTGGGGTCCCTCCTCACGGCGCCGCTGGGGGTCTCCTCCCGCAGATGAGGGAAGAGGAAGTCCCGGGCGGCCTGGAGGTCCTGGAAGGAGCAGAACTGGACAATGGAGCAGGCCATGGCTCCGGGAACCCCGCTGGGGCATTCACCTTACCTCACCACGCCCTGCCCCCCGCTACCCCGCCGCGGCTCCAGCCGCCAACGCCGAGCCCGGAGAGCTTCAGCCGCGCAGGGGGCGGGGAAACCAAACCGGAAGCTGTCAGCGCCCTCGGTTCCGCCGCCCGGAGCACTGCGCGTGCGCGGGACAGCCCAGGCGCCCTGGCGGTCGCGGCCCGGATCATGTGACCGGCGGCGCCTGCGGGGTGTAACGTCGCGGTGGAGGCCAGGATCCGGGGTGTTAACGTCGCGGTGGAGGCCAGGATCCGGCTTCAGTCCCGTTTCTGCATCCGTATCGGGGATGAACCGTTTTATTCATTCTGGCTTTTAGCCAGAGGTGACCTCATTGGACGTTGTCCGAGCCGGCCTTTGAGTCATTTAACCACTCCTCTTGATGGCCTGCTAGAGAATAATACCGGTTAAGCTACTGCCAGGCCAGTGGGGGACGGTATCATGCAAGTATCTGAGTTTGAAAAGATTAATTTCTGTTCTGGAAGTCAGCCCCGTCAAGCCTAGTTTTAAACGGCTCATATAAATTCTCGTCACACTATGCATGCCTAATTGTGTATTATACTGTATTGTACTCTTGTTTTTCAACATCCATTTGCTCTTTCATTCGTTTCTCCGTCCATTCAACAAATAGCATTGCTTCTCTTCTGTGTCAGGCACGCAAGGCTTTGAGTATAAAGCAGAGACCAAAAGAGGTGAAATACTTGTTCCATGGAGCTTAAAATTATGGTGGTTGATATAGATAGTAAGCTATTAATTAACTATTTAGGTGGCTCAGCGGTTAAAGTGTCTGTCCTCAATGCGAGAGACCCAGGGATCGAACCCAGGAAGATCCCCTGGAGAAAGAAATGGCAACCCACTCCAGTATTCTTGCCTGGAGAATCCCATGGAAGGAGGAACCTGGTAGGCTACAGTCCATGGGGTCGCACAGAGTCGGGCACGACTGAGCTATTTCACTCATGATGATGCTAGGAAAAAAGGCAGTCAGTTAGTACATAGCATAACAGGTAATCTCACTTAGTTGTTTTTTTGTTTGTTTTGTTGGGATGGAGGTGTTGCCAGTTTCAGGAACAGACTTCGTTGTAAACTCCTGAAGGTTGGGATGTCATTCTGTGTCCTTTATATTCAGTGTCTGTCCCAGGACTTGGCACATAGTGTGCAATAAGTATTTCCTGGAGGAATAAATGGAATGTGTACATAAGGTAAGTAGAATAACCCACTTCTTTTACAAAGCACTTCATATTTTTTTAAAGTATTTTCCCACACATTGTCAAGGTAGGTAGTCACAGTGCCACCCTGAGTGTGTCTTATCTGTTTTTTTTAATGAAGAAATATATCTGTGTGTCTCTGAGAAGAACCTTTTGTTATTCAGTTGCTAAGTTGTCTCAGACTGTGCAACCCCATGGATGACAGCTCGCCAGGCTTCCCTGTCTTTCACTATCTTTCTGAGTTTGTTCAAGCTCAGGTCCTTTGAGTTGGTGATACTATCTAACCATCTCATCCTCTGTCGCCACCTTCTTCTCCTCCTGTCCTTTCCCAGCATCGGGGTCTTTTCTAATGAGTCAGATCTTCGCATCTGGTGGCCAAAGTGTTGGAGCTTCAGCGTCAGTCCTTCCAATGAATATTCAGGGATGATTTCTTTAGGATGGACTGGTTTGATCTCCTTGCTGTCCAAGGGACTCTCAAGAGTCTTGTCCACACCACAGTTGGAGAGCATCGATTCTTTGCTGCTCAGCCTTCATCTGTACATGATTGCTCAAAGAGAAGGCCCTTTAAGCACATTTAAATGATTTGTCTCAAAAGTAAAAGCTGAAAAAGATAACATTCCTTCTTGATCTCATAAGGGGTCACATGGCACTTAGATCTGGATTATGTAAGCTATCAATAATATGTCATTTTGTTGCCGGAAAAGGGACCCCTACCAGGGCCCAGGCTCTGACACATGGAAGTGAATTATCTGAGGAAACACGGGTGTTGACAAAGTAAGAGACTTTATTGGGAAAGGATGCCCTGGTGGAGAGCTGCAGGGTGAGGAAACCCAGGAGAACTCTTCTGCCATGTGGTTCACAGTCTTGGGTTTTACGGTAATCTGTTTGGTTTCAGGTTGTCTCTGGCCATCACTCTGACTTAGGGTCCTTCCTGGTGGTGTGTCCATCACTCAGCCAAAATGGATTCCAGCAAGCAAGTTTCTGGGAGGGTGGCACGACATATGGACTGGAGTCTCGTCTCTCTTCCTGATCTTTCCTGAATTCTTCTGGTTAATGGTAGCTTGTTACTTCCTTGTTCCTAACCAGGACCTCCTTTTGTAAGGATGACTCATGCAAGTGATTACTATGGTACCGGGCCAGGGTAAGCAGTTTTAGTTGGTAGTTCCCCTAACAATTTGATGTTACCAGCCCTCTGTCTCAAAAAACATATATAATGTTGCCTTGACTTCTAATTAGTGGAACAGTTCTCAGAGTTTTCTCAAATGCCCTTCCCAGGTAATAATCCTCATATACAGCTCAAATAAAATTTTTCACTTGTTTCTTAGATAAATGGATTAATTTTTCATTGACTATTTATTAAAATAATAAAGGAATTATTTTAATATTACCATAAAGCAGTGTGGACACTCACATACTTCGCAAAGTAAACCTAAAGTGGTCATCTACTTTGTACAATGGGAAATGGAATGGAAATAAATTGAAGGCAAACAGATAAAGTCCAGAGTGGTCATTTCTGTCAGGCCTGTGTACCCACTCAGTCCTAACGATATAACAACTATAAGTTAGTGCCCAAATTCCTCCTCCATTAATTCCTGTTTCTAATGTAAAATAAATTTCACAAGATAGAGTAGATAATTTTATTAGATGAGGGGCCAGTTGTTTATGTCTAAAATATATGGTTGGTTTAGATGTACTGGGGGTTCCCTCATAGCTCAGTTGATAAAGAATCTGCCTGCAATGCAGGAGGCCCTGATTCGATTCCTGGGGCGGGAAGATCTGTTGGAGAAGGGCTATCCTCTCCAGTATCCTTGGGCTTTCTCTGTGGCTCAGCTGGTAAGGAATCTGCCTGCAATGTGGGAGACCTCGGCTCAATCCCTGGGTTGGGAAGATCCCCTGGAGAAGGGAAAGGCTACCCTCTCCAGTATTCTGGCCTGAAGAATTCCATGGAGTGTATAGTCCGTGGGGTTGCAAAGAGTTGGCCACAACTGAGTGACTTTCAATTTTACTTTAGATGTACTACAAAGTTCCTTCAACATCAAAGACCTATAATTCTAAAATCAAATCTTGCAGAAAAGACAAACTTTCAGTGCTTCGTTTTTCCATCTGGAAAAAAAAAAATGATGCAACGCTTCCTCGGATCAACCCTGATGATTAAATCCTAAAATATGACACCAAGACTAAACTAGAATAAAATTTAAATTTCAATTCTTAGTTTTACAAGATGAGCAAAGCACACATGACACTTTTGGAAAGGATACAGTGTCATTCCTTGAAAACCCTTCAAGTTCCTATTCAGGTAAATGCGCTTTGTAGAAGTAGCTGCCCTTGGCTGATTCAGCTGGTCTTTGTTCTGCCCCGAGGCGTTCATATATCTCTTGCGTGGCTGCTGTTGAATGGCATTACTGCCCAGTGTCAATTGTGAAGTCCCTGACTTCCTTCCAAGTAGTACTGAAAAGACTCATTCATGACTGCTTTTAAGGATGCTAGATCCCCTTCACAGAAATTACCTCGTATTGGTGAATGGAGCTCTTCCGCCCCAGGAAGTTGTGAAACTGCAGGGTGATGCCTCTGGAGTTCTGCTGCCATAGTTTCTGTGACGCGTGGGAGGTTTGTGTTATGCTGTGAGGATCAGTAACCACACAGCCATGAGAAAGCACTTTGCAGAAAATGTGCAGGCTTTCCGGACCCCAGCCTAGACAGCGTCTCTGTGTTCAGAAGCTAGGAAGAGACTGACCAGACAATCGCCAGGAGGGGAAGGAAGGAGAGCTCTCCCCAGGATCTGTTCCTGAGAGTTAGAGTGCTGGTAACTGTTGCAAAAAGAGAGATGCCTAGAGGCCAGTCCTTGCCAATCTTTCACAGCAGCCAGAACTGGAGGGTCTGAGAGACAGGGTGGGCCTCTAAGTGTGAAAGACGGAGCAATGGACTTAGAGTCAAGAGACTAGTTTCCATCTCAGCTAGGCCTGCTAGTAGGTCACATGGACTTGGGCAATTCATGTCGCCTTGCTGGGCCTTAGTCTCTTGATCTACAGAATGAGAAAGATTGGAGTCTGAAGTGTATCTCAGGGAAGTGTAAGTTTTGGTAAGAAACTGGGAAGGAAAAGGTCTGGGCATTCGACTTGCTCAAAAGGAGGGGTCTGTGTGGGCACCCCAGTAAGGGCCCTAAGGAAGGCAGAAGTGAATGAGAGGGTGCTGAGCATCTGTAAGTAAAAGAAAGAGGCTATATATATGTATTTAAATTTGTGGCTGCACCTCACAGCCTTAGAGCCCCAACCAGGGATCAAAACCATGCCCCCTGCAGTGGAAGCATGGAGTCTTAACCACTGGACCACCAGGGAAATCCCTTTTAAAAATTAAAAAACATTTTGGTGACAGCTTGTGGGATCATAGTTCCTTGACCAAGGATTGAACCCACATCCTCAGCAGTGAAATTGCAGAGTCCTAACCACTGGACCAACAAGGAATTCCCAAGTATATTTGATTTTATTTTGCTATGCCATGTGGCATGCAGGATCCCCAACGAGGAATTTTACCCATGCTCCCTGCACTGGAAGCTCAGAGTCTTAACCACTGGACTGTCAGGAAAGTCCCTGAAAGGGAATATCTTGAAGCAGTGAAGGCTTACCTCATAGCTGTGCTGAGGGTCATCCTTGAATTGAACTTCAAATTCTGTGAGCAGAAGCGGAGGCTATATACAGCTCGTATTTATTCAATAAACATCCACAAAAGATAACATCTATCTTATTCCAC